GAGTGACAGCTGCCCCTGATATTCCCTGATTTTATTACATTTTATTGAATGTCTGACGGTGTTGACAAAAAGTGGGGACGCAACTTTAAAATCTTATGAAACATGCATGTGTCATTAAAAAAACAACCTTGCTTTGATATGAGATATTATTAAGTGTTGCTTTTGATAAAACAAGCTCTTTTTCATCATTAAAAAAACATTTTTATCCATTTTATTGCATATGAATGATTGAACCCTTCTCTGTGGACACACTGTTTTAGATGTAGTGAGAGGACATTAAGAAACACAGATTTGGTATAATAATGAGAACATTAATTTGAAGGTGATAATTGTGTTAAATACATTCTATTATTAATCCCTCATGACATTTAAAATTGAAAATATTTTTATTTTTTAAAGCTAATAGCAGTTACCCTTGCTGGACCTGTTTTGTCCCACGTCTTATTATTATTAACAATAAATTTGCATCATTACAAATGGTAATGTGTTTTGTTTTTTTCCTATTACAGTACTGATAATTATTAGGGATACATTTATTTTAGCTACAACAGAAAAACAAAACAAAAAATGCAAAAAATAAATAAATCAACGAGTGAATACATACATACACAGCCTGCATACATACATGCATAGTAACATTCCAAAAAAAAAAGTTTCTTAAGAAAAAATATGATTTGTTTTAGGTTTTATGAGATTCACCCATATGCCAATCATTCAGTACTATGACCATACCACAGTACCATAGTATTACCATTTGATACAATCACTGCACCATGTTACTGCCACAATGTGTTTTTGGGGACTGTAGTTATTTCTGTGAATTCTGTCATTTCCCCCCTTTTTCCTTCTATGATTTCTTTCCTATTTACAGTTTTAAATTAAGACCAGAAGGAGCTGTGAGGAGTTGTGATAGATGGTTTTGAAAGGGGAAACATATTGTGAATGCTTCCCATCTGGAATGTGTTTCTTTCTCCTGATTTTCAGGGAGTGTAACTGCAGTGACTGAGAGATTTCATGGAAACTATCGTTTATAGGTAATTAGATTACTGCAGTGACTGAGAGATTTCATGGAAACTATCGTTTATAGGTAATTTGATTTTTCACGAGTTCACACTTACTTATAATGAACCGAGTAAAGTT